ATTTTCTATTGGATTCAAGTCAGGTGATTGGCTGAGCCATTCTAGCAGCTTTACTTTTTTTCTCTGAGACCAGTTGAGAGTTTCCTTGGCTGTGTTTGGGATTATTGTCTTGCTGAAATGTCCATCCTCGTTTTATCTTCATCATCCGTGTTGGAACTGAACCAGCTAAGATTAATTTCCACTGACAAAGGCCAGGATTGCTTTCTGCTGGTGTCTTGGCTTTCCATGCCTTTTTGCACCTCCCTTTCTTCATGTGTTCAGTACTTTTTCCCTGTGTCTTATTTGTTTTGTTTTCTTTGTATGTATGGATTACTTGGGTTGTTACCGACATCTGGTGAAAATTTCATGTCAACAGCACCTTTAGAAATATATTTACTGAGAAAAATGTGACGTGTTCAATACTTATTTTACCCGTGTTCAATACTTATTTTACCCGCTGTATTTACCTCCTCAGGTGTTTTCTCTGCGAATATAAGAGCTGAGCCTCCATTCTCCTCCTCTGGGTAGTCAGGAAATGAGCCTGTTGCATCACTATTCACAAGTACTCATTTTAATGTTGATAACATATGCTCAGTAAAACACCAAGGTAATATTAATTGTGTGCAACCATCAGCAAGGGATCCCACTCACCGGCACTCTATGAACCACTGTCGGATCTGATCTTTCATGGTCTCCTTCATTTCTGGGCCCTCCACTTCCCTGAGCTGATAAATAACAGATCCAATGGATTTCTGATAGTCATCTTCATGTTCGTCTTGTCTGGTCCGCCTGTTGGCCTCATTGTTTAGGGCGTCCAGCTCGGTTTGGGATGGATAGGACAGTTTTGGATCCATGGCCTGAAGATGGCACAGCCAGAGAATGACATAAAAAGAAACAGTATTAGAGTTCCATCTACTGGTGGCAACACGGTGGTTGTACACTCACTATGTAGTCAAGCTGCAGAAGCACAATGAACTCCAAAATATTTATGACTTACTTGAAATATTTATGATTGACTATTAATACAAAGCAGGTACCTTTGTTAATGTACTTTGCATGTATTATAAAGCACCCAAAAAGTACCTCTTTTTTCAGCAAGGATTGATTAAAAATAACAGTTAAAAAAAACTTTTACATTGTTGCAAAAAAAAAAATCGATATCAAATAAATGCTTTGTTTTTAGTTGTTGTTTTTTTTTCATTCAACACTTATAATAAAAAGAAATATTTCTTGAGCAACAAATCAGCATATTAGGATGATTTCTGAAGGATAATGTGACACTGAAGACTGGAGCGATGGCTGATAAAAATTCATCTTTGCCATCACAGGAATAAACTACATTTTGAAATATATTAAAATATAAAAGTTTTTTTAAACTGTAATATTTCACAACATTTCACATAAAATTTCACAATATTTCATTGCTGTTTTACTGTATTTTTGATCAAATAAATGCAGTCTTGGTCAGCATAAGAGACTTCTTTCAAACACATCAAAATAACTTATCAACCCTAAACTTTTGAATGGTAGAGATACATAATTCATTTTACCATTCCAAGAAATATGATTTCCTCTTCACGTAGCCTTTTTGTAATTTTTCTTTGTATGAAACCTCTCCACACCTAAATAGAGATTAGAATTAGTTTAAGAAATTGATTGTATTTCTAAACTTTTTTTAGTGTAAACTAATAGTAATACATTAATTATAACTATTTTGTGTGAACATAATAGTATATTTTACCTTCTGGATACAAACTGCGGCCTGGTCAGTGCTAACTGCCTCTTGTTCCTCAGCTCTCCTCTGTCTCTCAGAGTCTCTATGGATCTCTCGCATGAACTTTGCCCTCAGTCGTCCTTGCCGTGCTCTTTCAGCCACTTGGATGATTTTAATGGCCCTCTCCAGAGTCAACAAGCGCATTACAGGAGGCTTTGGAAGGCAAGAGAAGTCATGTAAGCACAAACCAATGCAATTATTGTTGTTTATGATGAAACATGAGCAATTGAACTCTTTCCTGCCTTTTCTGTCACATCCATTTGGTTTAATATAGCAGCAAACATTCTTTCTCTGTCCTGCAGCACTTTGTTCCGCTCCCAAATGAAATACCTGGGAACTGGAATCTCAAGGTCCTCCTTTGACAAACATGATTGAAATGATGATGGTTTACGGTTTAAATACATTTATTAAGTCCATTACAGCATTAAAGACACTCACAGGGGTTAGTTTCAGGTCTTGGATGATGTCATCCATGTAGTGGTACTCAGAAAATTCCTTTTCCACCATTTCGTTCTTGAGCTCCAGAACACGGCCTATCACACTGTCCAGCACCTGCCTAATCGCACGCCTCTTTTGGGGGTGAACGCTTTGGTCATAAGAATCTTCTAGCTGCCTGAAGATCTGCACATAGCGGACATAGAAGGTGGCGAGCCTTTGGAAGAACACCACTCTGTCTCTCTCAGGACGGGGAGGTTCTTCTGGGAGTTCTTCCTCCAGCAAACAGCTGAGCTCCTCATGAGCTTCAGACCAAAGTGTATTGTATGTGCTGTCAGAGACAAACTGTTTTACTCATTGGATTGATGCATACAAGCTAAGCTATTTATATGAGAATAAAATTAAATAATAGCTTAACCTTAAAGTAAACATGAAAGAGACTGTATGTTGTAACATTTAGAAGAATTACTAACACAGACATTTTACAATTTACATTTCTGAGGCAATAATTTCTTGCAAGCACATTTACTGTCACTGTAACCTACAAACCTGTGCGACATCGTTTGATAAAATCTCTACGGTTCCTTTGTATCGCAGGAGTTACAGCATTTCCTCTCCACGTCTATCACAAATAAGAGTCTGTAGCGGTAGTTAAAACATCCACTTTTTGGGGCTAAAGATAAAGTTATTAACAGTTAGAACGACACTCCCGACAACAAATAATGTGACTCTTGAATTAAACTCATTTCTAGAGCAGTAGGAATTGGATACATGGCTGACTAACTTGCCTGAAAGTTGTTGTCAACTTGTTTCTAAGGTAACGGTTACGTAGAACGGTAGAAGATCAAATGTCGAACGGAAATTTGGCCCGGTGATTGAATTACATCAACGTTTTGCCTGTCATTAATGTACACATATATGATGTTGTTGGCATGAACACTCGTTAAATAAAATATAATATTAGTGGAAATGTCATTTATTACCGTTGACAGTTAGCCTACGTAAGTTCAAAACATTAACCGTAACAAGATAAAAGTGAAACGCACAGCTTTTAAATGCTTCTGTTTATACATTTAGGGCTTCCTATCGGGTCAATAAAGGTTAACGTCATATTATGCGACTAAACATAACTTCAAGGAGAGTTTACTGACTATGCCTTCAAGTGGAACAAACGGTGCGACCAAATTACCAATATGGTTGTTAGTTGCAATTTGCAAACTAACTTTATTATTAGTTTATTGTGAGTTATTCAGCCCCTAGTGAACGTGACATTTTGACATCTTAACAACAGGTACGCGAAAATTCCTAGAATTTAATTCGGCATTTAATATAAATGTAAGTTTACAGAGCTTAATTCAAAATCATATTTATTGACGAAATAAAATAACAACTGTAAAAATGTGTTTTTATGCACTTATAGACTACTGTGGATGTATTGGGGGGGGGGGTTGTAAGGCGATATTAGCCTACTTGTAGTTTGAAAACACACCGCTTGATGTCGCCAAGTACAACATCTTTATTGCTTGTCCGTAAGTGTTAGAGTTCATATGAGGCTTTAAAACATCCTAAGTATCCTAAATAGACTACAGCATTCCAATAATCATATGTCTTAGGTATATAGTTAAAGGCCATATTAGGACAGCGATCAGTGTAGCCTCTATCTGTGCTGAGATTAAGCTTTGCAATGCAGAAAATGCAGCATTCCATTGTCATGACCGTATGTAAAGTTAAAAAGTTACTTCAAAAGTAAAGCAGTTTGAAATGTCCTCATGCAAATGTGATATTTAAGTATCTGAAGATTATTTTTTCTGTTCCTAATGTCAGTATGAACCCAGTGTGCATCTTGAAGTCAGGAGGGAGCAAGGCAGTTTCCTTCAAATTCCCATATGAGAAGCATGTTCAGTGACATCCCTGTAAGAGCAACAAGAGCTGTGTGAAACTGTTTGTCTTTTCACATTGTACTTTTACATGGATTCAACAGAGAAGGAGTTTACAACTTTTATACACCCAGGGATCCCCTGGATAGATCATTAATGTCATCAGTCTAGGGTTAATGGGTAGATCACAGTTTTAAACTATTGTCACTTTAATTATTGTAACTATTATTTCACTATTGTAGGATTGTCCACAACCCAGACTTTTTAATTTCTCCTAAAAAGTGTCTACTTTTTGTGATTGTTTGTTTTCTTAGGGCATTTCAGAATTTAAATTCATAACAATTTTTCTTATTTATATAATTTGCAATTAATAAGCCAAGGTTAGTATAGTTTTTATGTTATTTATTTATTTTTGTACAAATGTACATTTGTTTGGTATTTATGTATAGGCTACATTTGTATTTATGTTTTAATAGTAAATAACTGCTGTACATTATTAGTAGTAGTAGTAGTAGTAGTAGTAGTAGTATATAAATATTGCATTCAATGCCACCATTCTTTTTTTAATCTATTTTTGTACTTTGCAATTAATACAAGCCAAGTTTCATTCAGATCTTCCCTCAAAAGTGGAAAATGTAATTACCATCACACATAATTACGCACATACAAACTCGATATCAAACTTGAAGGCCAGATTTCCAGGACATGACCCCTGCAGGACCTTCACAGACCCCCGTGGGGAAAACTCTGGCTACAGAGAAATATTAAGAAGCTTAAAGAAATAATCAAGGTTCGAGTGCTTTACATAAGGCGTGAGAACAGGTTGAAATAATGTGATCATTTATAAAATATTTCAATGCTCAATGATCATTTTAATCAGACCATTGATCTGTGTTTGCTTGTTATGACATACAAAAGCTAAGAACCTTGGAATTTATGCGTTAAGCGTGTAATACCAGCACAAAGCCAAGCGCAAACTTCAGTTGGGAGGTGGAAACAAGCGGGGCTTACCAGGATAGCGCGCTTAGTGCAGTCACAAGACCCGACCATCCATGAACAAAAACATCCAGGCGTAATTTTCACAGCTCGACTACGTTTAAGCAAGTGTATTTGGATATATGGATACTTGAGGTTCCCCATCATTTCCCTGGGGGGACATGGCGCGATGGATATCTCCAAGAACATTTACGCGTCCAGCCCTCTGCCAGCTATGAATCTTTTAATAAACTGCAGAGAGGAGTTTTGAGACACTTTTTATAGTTATCTGAACTTCTGTGATGAATTTGAAACGAAAGGAGGGGCGAATGTCAAAGGAACTGACCACGATTTGAGGAAAAAAAAACCCTAAGGGAAAGAGGTCTACATTTGCCACCCACCCGAAATCGATTGTATTACATTCAAGAAGCTTCGCACTTGACGTATAAAAACAAGACGCATGAGTGTGTGTGTATATATATATATATATATATATATATATGTATATATATACATTCCATTGAAATATCTTTCGCTGAAATTATTGAACAATGCTTGTGCCTTTAAATTGTATGTACTTGAGATTGTTCATGCTGGAAGAATAATACGTGCTTATTGGTGTAATTTTCCAAAGAGTGTTGCCATTTGTGCTGAACTTAATATGTGTCATTTAACAGCAACTACTGAATGTTCCATGTCACATCTAGAAGCTGTCCAGTGTTTTGATGTGTTCAGAGGCATTTTAGCATTTCTGTTACTCTTGGGAATAGTTTATTATACTCAAATACAGACAAAGACTTGATTTTGTGCTATTACGTGGTTTCTTCACTGCTGTGATACCCCATTACTTAATTTAATTATAAAACAAATTTCATGAAATTTTGACAGTGCCAGTGCCAGTTTTCTGGTTGTGCTGATTCTATTTAAATGTCATAAAAAAAACAAAAAAACAACAACTGATTGACGTGTTGTTACACAGAATTTGTGTGCCAAAGAAAAATTACACCCATAAACATCTGCTATTGCTGATCTGGATGACCTTTGAATGAATTTATTGCCTTTAAAGTTTTGCAATGAGAATGATTTTAATCTAGTGAAAACATGCTAGTTTTGAAAACTGAGTTGATTATGGACCTTTATATAATCTAAACAGTCAACACACTGCACTGTACTGTACCCTTCTGAATAGAACAGCCCATTAGTATAGGCATTTAGTCATCTTATGTAAGACTCAGGTGCGACAACACGCGTATAGACCTGGAATTATCTTGATGGGTGTTTAATAGTGCATCATCTCCATGATTTTCTTATTAAAAATGGAAAAGAATGGCCCTCAGTAGAAGAATCTGTGTAGACATCGAAAAGGTAGAAAGTCACTGTATTTTGAATGAAAGAGGAACTCATTCATAACACGGTGTTGGTTATCCTACATTCTGAGGCAGGTTAAAATTAGCTGCTGCATGGATTTGTGGACCTGACATTGATAGGCATTACAACTTTGCATGCAATAATCACCTTACTCCGATAGGCTGGAACTGCTATGGTCTACATGTGGGGATGGTGTCCCAGGGTCGGGCGGGCCACAGATTGTACATAATTAGCAAGGACCCCAAGCCTCTAGCAGATTTACTGAGCGCTGGATTATCAATCTGGGATTGCATTTTACATCTATGCTTTAAATGGCTGCCCGTCTTTCTTACGTCAAGCATGTAGTCACCACAGTAAAACACATGGCGTATATGACTGTAATTGGTTATATCATCATCTTACAAGGGGAAGTTTTCCAAGAGGTTGTTGCATGTTTGTACACTGCGGGCATTTATGAGTTTGAGATCTGACAAACTGCTAACAGTATTTACAAGACTATTAACAAACTGTCTGTAAATTCATCATTAATTGTGGGCTGATGCAAACTGAAGTAATGTTATCAGTTTTGCAAAACCTTTGGAGAGGTTGTCAACAAAATAAATGGTTTATGAAGAATGTCTTTATTAAATAACAATAGAAGTCAGTAGTATGTCTCTATATAGATAGCAAAGTAAGCAGACTTACAAATGACTTCATGCCATGTGCTAGACAGTGTATTCAGTGACTAAGCTGGATGCAAGCTGATGACATAATCATTCCCCGGCTAAATCACATTCATTAATACACAGCAAATGGTTATACTGTACAAAGTTGTCTCTTTGTAATGTTTCTATTTTAATACTCACAATTAACTCAGAACAGAAATCTCAGTATTTTATACACAACATATTTTATAGTTGCCACTTGGCAGAGGCTTTGTGTTTTTTAACTCATTAAACACTTACCCAAAGGGATACTTGAGTAGTTTCAGTTTTGTTTTGTTATACATATAAAACAGACTTTAAAATTGCAATAGGCTATCAAAAATATTACACTAATGAAAGAATTAATTATTTTTTTAAGAAAAGAAAAAATAATGTGTGCATTTTGATTGGGAAGACACAAATTATAGTGGAATATCTGATAATATATCCAGACAGAGACAGATTTCTCCACAAAAATACAATGCTCTTTCCCATTTTCATCCATCCAACCAACCTCAAGCTAAATGCAATAACAGCTTCTATGTTTCTCAAACTGCTTCAGTTTGAGAGGAAGCTACTTGGTGAGTCTGTTTTGTTCACCCACAGTATCGATTGCTTATTTCAGTTTATTTAAGAATGGTCAAATTGCTCATTAATATCCAGTATTATATGAGTTAAAAGAACACATTTCTGGTTTGGTATCGATGAAGGGGTATATTTACTAGCTTTGAGTCTTATTGATTAGGCTGGGTACAGTGGTGGCAAAAACATTAACTCTGTCTTTTTGTCTTTTTGTTTCAGAGGTTGTCCCAAGAGACATGAGCATGAAAGACAGATTTATAGAACATTTTACAGGTAAACAAAAACCCATTTCAATATGTTTCATCTTTCTTGCAGTATTAAATATTTCAAGCAGCCCTCTAGATGAGGTCTAGATGTGTGGCTATGTATTTAGAATAGCGTACTAACATACTACTCTTACTGTTGCTGCAGTATATAATATGTACAGTGTACAGTGCATGCACAGTGTGTGGAATTTCTTTTTCTTATGACCTGCTACATTTGCCACATGTTTACTTTGTCGAATATTGTAATCTACAATGTAGTGCATTCAACCTGACCTTCCATTTCCAGTGTCAGGAGTGAAACAGACGTAATATCTATTTCTTGACTCATTTAATTTGACTGCCAAAAATAAAAGCCATTTTTATACAAAACTGGGTTGCGAAAAAGATAATAACCAGACACCATTCACTGACTCGCATGCAGCATGTAACTTGATGAGGTCATGTGACAAATGTAGCCAGGTCATGTGACAAAAAGGTAGCAGTCTGTTTAAAATGATGATTGTGGAATAACACTGTTTCATTTGCTATTTTTAAAAAGTAGTATGCAATATATACTGTGCAGTATTCAGTAGCCATTCTGAATACATCCTCTGTTTTTATTCTCATTATAGGCATAATTTGAAATCTGTCTCATTAGAAATGAGCAGTTTTCATCCTGTAAAACATAATAAGGCCAGTCAAATAAGTTAAGCCTGCAATAGATTAACTTAGTTAAATTGTTTTTACAGCCTCTGGGTTGTGAAATACACTTTGTACTCCAGCCAAATGTTGTTTGGAAAAGCACTTTTAAGATGATTATTCATTGCAGAATCTTTGTTCAAATTTGTTATCCGGAAGCTCGTACAATGAAACTTTGTAAGAGCTTTGCCAGAATAAGAATCACTAAGTCTCTCCCCTTGTGATAGCATGTCAAGTGTTAGCATGTGCTAATTCTCCTTCTGGGTTTCTGCACAAGTGAAAAAGTTACAGCAACTTTACCATTTTCTTTGTACAAATTTGTGAGATTAGACATAATGCTTAAGCAGACATTTTGAAATTAAAAGCTAAATGATTTCATTCACCAGAGTAATTAATCTATAAAACGCTAATTTGATGGTTGAAACCTTTGTTGTTTCAAGCAGGACCAGTCAAGTTTCCATCTGAATGCAGGACACATTTCCATAGAATTTATCACAATACAAGGGAATGTTCCAGACCGTCATGTACGTATATCTTTAACTAAGAAATAATTCACCCAAAATTTTTTATATATCTTCATTTTGGGGTGAACTATCACTTTAAAGACATGAAATGTTTCCCTGTAGTTTCAAATTAGAATTATGTTATGATCTTAGTTGATTTTTGTATCATGCTGCTTATATGTTTGTGCTTGTTTATTTTGTAGAGACTTTAGAAATGCTGCCTATGTTTCTATTTTTCTGAAGTAAAAAATAAAAAGTTTTGACAGGGCGTTACACCGCAGTGAAAATGCTCCTCCACCCTTAGTCCTCATGGACTTCATAGTGTTCAGGAGAGATTTAGAGTTTTCCATTAAATAACGCTTATCTAAAGGCGCAGCTAAAGTGTTACTCTGTATAGAGAGCATAAATGTCAAAACGAATCAAGGCTCCTTTTCTTCAATTGTACTACATTTTATATTTTACAAAATAAAAGACAAACCAGCTTCCCATAGTGATGATCAGATTTATATTTTGGGTCACAACAGATGCCTGTTTCCTCTAGACAATGGCCGGTCAAGTGTTTTGTTTTATTTTTCTTGAGTAAAAACACTTGTGTGTTAGTGGCCAGCTAACTAACTAGTGGTTCAGCTATTGTGAACTTGCTTCCCGACCCTCCTCTGTGGTTCTCAGTAGAGAAGGAAGAATTGTGAAATTCAACCTTAGAAACTGTGGATTTTTCTCTTCTAAATCAGGATCTATGAATTATTGCAAGTAGTAGCATGCGTATGATGAAGAGATATTATTTCGTATGATGGGCTTTGTAAACATGCAAATCCAACCAGCTGTATGTGAGTATTTGGCAGCCACGAGGAACACTGGGAATGACAAATGCATAATAATTCATACGTAAATCAGAGTTTCTGTCTTCCAGAGCATTTTTATGACATAAATGCTCCCTAAACTGCAGTAAACTTAACACAAGATACGTTTTCATGTATGGCAACGGCGAATCCAAAGCCTTTCCACGCCGTATACTTTCAAGATACTTTGTAGTGTTTGAGTTCTGCTTTGACAGTGTCACTTTTAAACGGGATGGAGGGAAACGTGGCAGTACCTTGAGAGAAAATGACGGCAACGGTGCTTGGAACAGGACAGCAATGGGATGTTCAGACTTCACAAACACCATTAAGGGTGGAAGCATGTGGTGCTTGAACCCACACAGTCATTTTAGGCCATCAAGTACATTACTGGGGCAGAGATGAAGCTATTTACAGGGATCCATCTAACCCTTAGCCATGTTCATACTCTATACGTCACCCCGTGATGGCATGAGAGCTCCACTTAAAACTGAATTTCATCAGTGCGTTTGAAGTGGTGACGTGTGCTTCATGTCACACAGCACAAGCCAGAGTGTCAATGTCTGTTTAACATTGTGAAAGCGAAAATTCCTTGTTTTCATTTCTTTTGTCTTGTCCCCAACAGATTATAAAAGATGTGCACGATTGCTAACAAGGCTAGTTATGAGTCCCCTTTGCACACAATCATAGAAATGCATGTAAGTACAAAGCTGCTTTAACACATGTAATTATAAGTATATAAACTATTATTTGTATATTTATTATGTGTTTGTGTGTATTTATTATTGTCTGAAACGGCAAGATTTGTAACATGATAGCCAAGCCTGCTGTTGGGAAAGTTTTGCATGTTTCTTTAACTGAAACCTTAGAAGAAATATTGAGTAAGATATACTGTCAGTTTAATCATGGCCATCTGGTACATTCTGAGGCATGCAGTTAATGCACGGTTCACACAGGCAGAATAGAACTTCCAGAGAGGCATAAATTTGCATTGTAACATGCGTGCAACTAATCACTTTGAAGTAATTATATACAAAGTGATGTAACAAAGTCTTCCAAGAGTTCATGTTCTGGCAATTGAAATTTAAATGTATAAAGTCTTAAAGAAACTGATTCTGATTTCAGATTTATGTCTGTATAATTGATAAGAAAAGCAATGCACAAGCTTGGATCTAGCAGACTCTTCCTGTCCTGTGATATTTTTCCTTTTTGCCAAGTTGCAGTTGCCTAATGCATTTTTTTCTGATAGATCAAATAATTGTATATTAGATTGTGTAATAAAGTGATTAAATAACAATCTTGGCAAGTCAATCCGAGCTCATGTGTCAAAGAATCAAACATTATTCATTTAATTCCTAGAAACATATTCAAAATAGTTCACCTCCAAACTGTGACGCTGGAATCAGTCTGTGCTGTGACATCATCAGCTGGAATGAGACATTCAAAGAACCTGTTAGTGAAAGGTGAAAGAATCCATTACCAATCTGAATGTCAAATGATGGGGCTGGTGAATTATGGTGGTTTTATTAGGTTATGATTACTCTTGCTCAGACTGGTTTTCCTCTGAATCAATTAGAAATGGTTAAATTGCCTTTTATGATGTGAATAAGTGATTTCCATTGAAGTGGAGAGAAATTAATTCAAGTCTGAAGTTCATTGTTTCTGTGTATGACAGGTTGAGCTGGTTGAGGAACTTAATTTCGTACGCTGTCTTCCTCATACTTTTTTTCTAACTGTAACCGAATCCTAAAAGTATTGATTTAAAATATAAAGGAAATTTTAATATGATTAAATCTTAACATAATTCTGTTAAATTCTGTATGTCGTAGGTCCTGAGGATATAAACGAAGAAACTTCAGAGATGTTGGAGTAATTAATTTTTTCCAAGGAAGTGCCTTCAAATCACTGCAATTAACTGTCATTGTTTTCATGTCATTTCCATTTACAAAGTATAATTGTTCTATAATAATAATACAATTTTTTGTTGTTGTTGTTGCTTTTTATCATAATTTATGTTTGTTTTAAAATGCTCTTAAAATATAGTTTTGTTTAATAGCTTTGCTTTTTATATTATGAGTTTTAAAGAAAGTATTATTTATCTTTGCAGCCAATTATTTATTTAAATGATATGTAAATATTCTGTCCTGATTGCATTTGAATATGTATCTCATTAAGCCACCTTTACTCAAATATATTTCTGTTCCAAATATATTATTTCAAATCTAAATATTTAATTTCATTCCTTACACTTTAAAAAAAGGATTGTGAAAGTTTCTTACCATGCTGTCATTTCCACGATATCTACCATTGGCACTTATTGAAATTCAAATGATGAATTATTTCGAATTATAAAAACACATTGTTTGATAACAATGGTAATATTGCACTGATGCTTTGAAAGAATAAAAACATTCAAGCACAATATTTGATTTCCTGTTTTTTTTTCTTCTCCTTTTTATGAATTCAAATTTTATTAAAAAAGTCATTCTAAAACTGTTTGATCTGATTATATATTTCTCTAAAGCATTCCTGTGGCTGATAATAAATGACTCGAGCATAAAAACATCATATTTGGGGTTTCTTTTAGCTTATTTTGTTGGATGATTGATTGGAATATGGGTTGTCAGCTATTATGAAATCCGCTCCATTCCAGTAATTGAGCAGATTTCATAACAGCTGACAACCCATTTCTTCTGTATCAGGGGGAACATAAGATCATAAATCTCTCACAATATCACATTCATATATCCCAACGGTGGGCACCAAGTCTCTGTCACCCTTAAATGTCTTGTTTGACTTAATTGCTTACATGCTTGTATAATACTTCTTTATATGTGCTGTCATGCGATTTGATTTGCACCGTTATTTTTACTTTATGTATGTATTTATTTTTAGAGTAGAGATCAGTTCAGAGTCATAGTTCTGTAATTGTTTATCAGGATTTCGAAAGTTGCTTATCTTGACTTTGTCTTGGATTAAAGTAACTTATCTGTTTGTTTTCAACAGCTTTGCAGATACAACATGGCTACAGTGTGTCTTTTTTAGCACTGGAGTAAGACTCCATATGAGAAAGTCTTAAAAGTAAAGCACACAAACAAGAGTGGACCCTTTCAAATGAGCAAATAAACATAGAATATTCACTCTTGGAGATCCTGTTCTCATATTAGAAATGACAAACATTTTGTCTTCCCCTTCTGTTGGTGTTACTAAAACGATGCAAATAAGATACTTTTGAGATCCACTAAAACTGTGGCTTTATCTATATCTCCATCGTAATCAAATATTTACCTGATCTGATCTGGATGGCTATTAACACAACCATGAAATGTGGCCTTGAGCTGTGTTTAATTGTTGTTTAGAGTGTTACATAAACATATTAAAGCGACCACTTGAATGCTGCGCCAGAACTCACAGTGCTACAAATTCTCACGCCAGAATGTCTCTGAAAACTTATCAAAATAATTAGTATGGCAAATGCATGACAGGATCTTGCTTATCAGACATATTTGTCTTTCATTCTGTCTAAAGGGTCATATGCCTTTTTTTTACAGTTCCAGGTTCATTTATAACGCTATTTTTTTCTTTCATTTTTCGAGTTTTTAATTAACATTTCCCACTCTTTCTCTGACCCTAGAATGACGTAAACTGATACATTTTTATATTACTTTTCTGGCTGCTGTGCCTTTAAGACTCCTTAACACTACTTTGCATGTGCAATGAGTAAAAGCAGACGTCATTGACGTGTAATGTGAATTTTCAAATGTATTCATCTAGCCTATATGAC